TAAAGCCCCATTTAAAATTGAAAGACAAAAGAAGAAAAAGAAAGCAGAATGATTTATATCCATTAAATTCACAGATTCAATCATGAGACATGATTCCTGGGCATTGATTGACAATCAGAAGCTTTTTTCCGCGGTAGGTGAGGACCTGCTAGCTGCTATTTATATTTTGTATGTGTATGACGTTGTTCAGTCTATATCCATGGACCATGAATTTGAATTCGCCAATTGTTCAATGTTGAAATATCGTTCTGCCTAATTCTGATTCACTATACCATCTGGACCACTCCTTTCAATATTCTTAGGTTGTGTTTGGTACGATTGCTAGCTGTTTTTGCATGAAACGTTGGGTTTATTAATACAAATTTGAATTGGGCAATTGTTCAAACACAAAATCCCTTATACCCCACCACCAAGGCTTAGACCTTGAATTGTTTGAAGCTTGTACCTTTAGGCCTTTGGTGATTTAATGTTGAATATGAAGGTTTATATAGGGGTGAAAATACAAATTTAATATAAAAAATGTCTTATTTTATATTGAAATGTTGTATGAATAAATAAATATAAAAATAATAAATAAATGCATACAAGTGTATATGAAAATAGCTTCTCATGTTGTTCATGTTTTGTATTATTCATTCTTTGTTCTTATCCATTGTCTGTTTATACTATAGTTGATCTATCATCTATCCATATCTATACTATTACAAAAGTACAAATGAGATATTGGGTTTTTGGAAATTTTCTTAACTAAAATAATCCTTTTTTTTTTTAATTTGGTTAATCTTTAATGAGAGGGCAAAAATATAATTAAAGTAATACTATTAGGTTTCATTTGTTTGCAATACAAATGCCAAACCGGGGTATTTATGTAATCCGGTTCGGATTTGTGAACGTTTATTTGACATGCAAAAATGTAATGATTAAGAGATTAAAATTATGTTTTCTAACAGCTTTGTGCTATGGAAAGAGCACATTAGGTTACCCATTTTTTTGATACATTTTTGTACTCTTTTGATAATTGGTGCATTTGATCAAAAGTTTAAGGCATTTAATGATGGGGCCCACACTTTGCATTGATTTCAAATAAATAGGAAAAATGTAAACGGGTTACACCGTAAACCCACTTTGCATTCTTCAACTAGAATGAGGGCATTTATGTAAAGTACATATTTGCATTTGCATTACAACCAAATGCAACCTTAAGTACATTCAATTACCTCTCATTTTCTCTCGTTGAATTCAACATTTAAGTTACTTTTGTTTCTCATCATTAAATTTCACTAATAAATCCATACACAATAATATTAATAGAATGTAATTTTGTATTTTTAAAATAGACCTAGAAATATAACCATTTTTTCTATCTAGGTGGTGGGAAATAGTTTAATCATTTGGGTCAAATGGATAATTTCATAATGTCATAAATAAATAATAAAAATATAGAAAATAAAGAAATTTTATAAACAAATTGAATACATTTCTATTATTGTATATGCATCATATTAAAAAAGACAAGTATGATAAAATAAACATTATTTTATCAATGATGGACTTGAAATATACAATTTAAAACTGATGGGAAATGAAACTATTTTCCCTTCTAGGGGGTGAGTTAGTGGTTCCATCTTTCAGGTCAAATGGGTCAACCCACGATGAATAATTAAAAAATAAAAATTTTAAAATAGAATAGTACAAAAAAATTATGGAACAGTTTTGGGCACATCTATCATATGTTAATCATATAAAACAAAAATATGTGTTAGAAGCAAGAGTTATTTTATGAATAATATAAATAAAATACAAAATTTAAATCCAACATGAAAACAAAACCATTTTTGTATCCAGATGGTAGGTCATGGGTCATTTTATGATATTGATATAAGATTTGTATAAATCATTTTGATACATTTCTAATGTCATATATTCATCATATTAAATAAAAATAAAAATTAATTTTATTAATGATGAAAATGAAATACAGGATTTAAAATCAACTGAAAAAGCAAAATAATTTTTCCAATCCAAGTGGTGGGTTAATAGTTCAACTATCTATGCCAAATGGGTCAACACATGATGGTAATAATTAAATAATAAAATACATATAAGTTCTAGAAAATGTAAAAAATTATAGAAAAGTTTGGGTATATTTTATAATAGTATATATTTATCATATAAAAAATAGGTGAGATAAATGAGAATTATTTTCATTAATGATGGAAATGGGATAAAAATTAGGAAGAAAATAAAGAGCATTAATGTCTAACACATGACCCCGCTAACCATGTCAAATGGTTCAATAGTTTAAATAGCTAGGTCACCTGGGCAAGTGGTTTGGTAGTAAATGGACTTACAATCTTGAATTGGGTGATAGATAGATCAATCTAATCAATTGATTTGACTATAAATATTAAAAACCAATATTCAAACAATATATTAAAATTGCATTTCCTTTTGATAAATAAGTAACTTTTATTATGTCCTAAATTAAATAGTTTACATAAAAATATAAAAAATTCTTCATAAATTTTATAGAAAAACTTGAACATGCCATTAATATTATGTACTCTTCATGTAAAACAAAAAAATGTTTGAAAAATGAGATTTTTTGCACCGAATTAATGTCTTAAACATGGTCCATTGAACTGGGCAGATAGGTTAGTGATTCAATCAATAAGGTAATTTGGTTGTTGACCAAGTCCATGTTTTTTGGGAAAAAAGTGGTTTAGGTTAAAATATACTCAAAAAGTGACAAACTAATAAATCCATTTGCTTGGTTTAATCATAAGTTGGAAGCATTGATAAAAATCACAAAATCATTTTAAGTTAGGTCTTTGGATTGAAAGACAACATATTGACTAATACACCATGTGCAATGCACGTACATATTTACTAGTTTCTTTTAAATCACATGCATCACACAAGTGGTCACTCTTCACTAATGCAGGAAAGTAAACATGAATACCATGTCATTAAAAGAATGTTGATTCACATACCTGAATTGAACAATGATATTTAGATGGTATTATTTTTATAGTGAAGGGAAAATTTTTGGCTTAGGCACCTCTCCCCTTCGGCACCCAATCGCCTTGCTTTTGCTTTAAACCTGGTAATCATCCTAAATGTTCATACGGTACCAAAACAACAATAGTACCAAATACAAAGGAGCAAATCATTAATTATGGTTTGTGTTTTTACATGTAAAATGCTAAAACGTATGAGAATGAATGATTTCCTTAAAAATATTATCTTCCAGTTTTTCTTTTCATTTAAAAAAAATCATCATTTCTTTTCATGTAAATAGTTCAGGGTATATAAATAATTTCTCAAATATACAGTATATATATATATATATATATATATATATATATATATTCTCCTTCATCTTACAATAATCCAAGCGCACCCCAAATAAGAACTAGAGCAAATCAGCCACTTACAACAATCTACGGCCAACCCTGCAATCTGAACCTGTTGATATATATAGGCTGAGGTCAAATATTCCAAGTCAAATTGCTACTCTACGGCTCATTAAAAAAATGAGGTCACTGTATTGACTTTGAAAAATTAGTCAAATTAAAAGGGGCAGATCCACCACTAGATTTAAAGATTAACACCCCGTTACACATAACACTATAGGTCATCCTGCACCTAATCAGAAACCAACCTACCCAACTCCCTCCGAAGTCCAAACCCCAAACAACCCGCATGTGGCTAACCACGCTTTGCGTACCAAAGTTGGATTCCCCCTTCTCCTCAGTCTTCCTTTTTTGGGGTTTCTTTCAGACTCTGATTCACTCTGAACTCTGTCTCAGAGATTCTTGACTTCTCACACTGTCTTTAATAACCCATAAAAAGTAAAAGAAAGACGAAGAATGTCAATAGCCAGTCACGCTTATATCTAATCGAAATTTACCGACACGTGGCGGTCTAGAAAAAACCCGTACTCGGACTCGGACCAAATTTGAAATTTGAAAAAACAATGAAAATCTGGCCCCTGTTGGGCGGCCCGATGCGTATAAAATAAAACCCTAGATCCTATAGGCCACATCGTACGGTTGTCGTTTCGCGATAAATAGATACTTCTCGATACTGTTGGTATCAAGAAAATTGTCGCTAAAAATAAAATATTTGTTTTGGTTTTTACCTCTCACTGTCCCCACAAGGAACCCCCACCGTCTGATCCAATGCCCAGAGTAATCTTCCCGGACTGCTTGGAGTTTGGACCTGAGTATCCGAACTCGAGGAATAGCTTTATTACTCTGCGACGGCGTGCTGTCCGAGAAACCCGAAACCCGGAAAAGTTTTATCCAAATTATCACTTTATTGACAATTTCTTATTAGTTAATAATAATTAAGGCTTTCTTTTACTTGTGAAAAGTACGGGAAAAAAAAAGCGGTTTTCTGAATTCTAATGTCAGGGACTCAGGGCACAGAGCACAGATAATCTCTTCACAAAAAGCAGAAGAAAAACAATTATAAAAGTCGAAGCATTTCGAATTTCGAATTTTTCTTTGTACTCTTACAACCCACTAACAAACAGGCCCTTATAATTCTCAGAACATCCTTCCCGGATTATCGTGTAAAAAGTAAAATCTCGTTTGTTATATCTGCATCTTAATTAATGTAATTAGGTAAAAGTCTTAAATGACTACAGTAAGTAAGACATTTACGGTTTTATCCCTCTTTATCTTCTACAGTTCTACTCTCTTGGCGTAAACTCCAATGAGAAGCCTTTTAATGCATCTAAGGTAGACAAAATGGACGGTCCACCGTCATTTGTTCACCGTTCGCAAAAGCAGTTGATGGATCGAACGGTAGATGTTAAGTAATCAGGTTTGTTTCCGAAGCTCGTTACCGTTGATATATCGTTATTTGTGTCTACAAAAATGTTCGAAAAAGTAATCTCTCTCTCTCTCTCTCTGTTTCACACTATCTCTCTTTGTACGATAAGAGAACAGAGCTTGACCGGTTACTATCGATTTCCTTCCACTGTGCGAGGCGAGCCGTATTAGCCACCCAGATTCCAACTCTTTCAATCTCTCTGCTGTATATTTTTCTAAAATAAAGATAACAGAGAGAGAGAGAGAGAGAGGAACGGACAAGAAGAGGTTTCTGGGTGTTTTTGGTGTGAACCAGAGATGGGTTTTCTCCCTTCTCTTCTCTGTGTTCTCGCTTTCTTTGCATTCTCTCGCTTTATGAGACATGTCACTGGAAATCCCGAGCTCAGAGCGCTCATGGAGATGAAGGCGTCTCTCGACCCAGGAAACAGGTTTCTTTCCTCTTGGACTAGCGACGGTCACCCGTGCAGCGGTTCTTTTGAAGGTGTTGTGTGCAACGAACATGGAAAAGTAGCCAACATTTCGTTGGTCGGCAAGGGGTTGTCCGGAAGGATTCCTCCGGCGGTTGCTGGGCTCAAATGCTTATCGGGTCTGTACCTGCATTTTAACTCTTTGTCTGGAGAGATACCACGAGAAATCTCGAATCTCACTGAGCTATCTGATCTTTATCTCAATGTTAACAATCTCTCTGGGAGTATTCCTCCTGAAATCGGAAACATGGCTAGTCTTCAAGGTTAGTTACTTAGAAACGAAACTCTGTCTCGCTTATCGAAGCATCCTTTTTTTCCTCTGTAACATGAAGTCTTCTGGGCTAGGCGTAGGAGTGAATGAAGTTGGAGAAGAAGAAAAAAATCCTTCTGTTTTTTGTTTCCCTTTTTAGCTGACCCATCTATTTTTTTCTTCTCCTCGAGTAGAACGTAATGGAAAATAGCTTCAACCTTGCTTTGGGTTTTTTCTTCCCCTCCTTGTTTCATTTTTCTTCCATTTTTTATAACTTAGTTTGAATGGTTTTTCTTCCGTTTGCGATGAGTTATATCTTTTCCCAGATTTCTGTTTCTCTCTTTTCCCCTTGTTTTTTCTTTTTAATTGTTTCGACGTTAGCATGCCTGGATTTTTTTGGGTGAAGATTTGGTCTCTGATATTAGTGGGATATCGAAAGCTTCGATCTTGCTTTAAGACTTTCTATTTATTTTTCGATTTTATTTTGTTTTCACCCTGAACTGTTTGTTTCCTTCCGGGTAGTTTTGCAGCTATGCTATAACCAGTTGACCGGAAGCGTACCAACGCAACTTGGTTCTTTGAAGAAGCTCAGCGTTCTTGCTCTTCAATTTAATCATTTATCAGGTGCCATTCCTGCGAGTTTAGGGGATCTGGAGATGCTTATGAGGTTGGATTTGAGCTTTAATAGACTCTTTGGTTCAATTCCTGTAAAACTAGCTGATATTCCCGCGCTAGAGGTTTTAGACGTTCGCAACAACTCCCTTTCAGGCAATGTTCCTCCTGGTAATTGATTCTTATTCTCATTTGCTCTCATAGATTCTCTTGTTCTTTCCATTTTACTCTGTTGGTAGTTAATTTGAGCCTCTGGTTTATTTACTTATTTATTTCTGTTTGAAGCCTTGAAGAGACTGAATGAGGGATTCCAGTATGGAAACAACTCGGACCTTTGTGGAGTTGGGTTTTCTACTTTGAGTGTTTGCAGTGCTTCAGATCGTTTGAATCCCAATAGACCTGAACCCTTTGGTCCAAGCAAGAATGGCCTTGCCACCAGGGCCATCCCAGAGTCAGCCAACTTACCTCAACATTGCAATGGGACTCACTGCTCAAGTTCTTCAAGAACCTCCCAAATTGCTGTTGTTGGTGGTGTCATTGTAGTTGTTATTTCACTGACAGCTACTGGTCTCTTCACGTTCATGTGGTATCGTCGCCGGAAACAGAAGATTGGGAGTGCATTTGATAATTCGGATTGTCGGCTTAGCATTGACCAAACTAAGGAGGTCTACAGGAAGAGCGCTTCCCCTCTCATCAGTCTTGAGTACTCAAATGGATGGGATCCACTGGCTGATGGGCGAAGTGGCAGTGGGTTCTCCAAGGAAGTTCTTCAGACCTTTAGGTTTAATTTGGAAGAAATAGAGTATGCAACACAGTACTTCTCTGAGATAAACTTGTTGGGGAAAAGCAACTTCTCGGCAATATATAAAGGGATTTTAAGAAATGGTTCTGTTGTTGCTATCAAGAGCATTAACAAGACCAGTTGTAAGTCTGAAGAAGCTGAGTTTTTGAAGGGATTGAACATATTGGCCTCTTTGAGACATGAAAATCTTGTAAGGCTGAGAGGATTTTGCTGTTCAAGAGGTAGGGGTGAGTGTTTTCTCGTATACGACTTTGTCCAGAATGGAAACTTGTCACGGTATCTTGATGTGAAGGATGCAAATGGCCAGGTTCTTGAATGGCCAACTAGAGTTTCTATCATCAACGGCATAGCCAAAGGTTTGTGTTTTCTCATATGCTTCTTGTTTAGATCATTTTCCCTTTTTTTAGTAGGTTGGCCTATTAGAAGTCCTGATTTTGTTCCTTGGAATTTAGCTTTAGCAAATGCTCCCGTGAATGGTTGGTTAAAATTTTGGTGTGTAAAATAACCTATTTAAGATTACAAACATTGTAGTTCATGCCAACCAACTGAGGGTGGCTCAGTCGTTATGTTAGCTGATTTGTTCCATCAGAGACGGGAATTTGAATCTTGCTACCACCAAATTTGGAGGGGGGCTAGGTGTGATGCTGCATTACTCAAACGGGCCTTATGGAGGGATTTGGGCATAGAGCCAAGTACAATAGGAAAAGAAAAAAGAGAAGGGTTGATTCTTTAGGTGCAATTACATACATATCTTTTTTTTTATTTTTCTTTGCTTGGAACACTGATATTTGATCTTACATATGCAACCAGGTATTGAATACTTGCACAGCAACAAAGTGAACAAACCTGCTCTTGTTCATCAAAACATATCAGCAGAGAAGGTGCTTATTGACCAGAGGTTCAACCCTCTGATCGCAAATTCTGGCTTGCACAAACTCCTGGCAGATGACATTGTCTTCTCAGCCCTCAAGGCCAGTGCTGCCATGGGATATCTAGCCCCCGAGTACACCACAACTGGCCGCTTCACGGAGAAGAGTGATATATATGCATTTGGGATGCTAATATTACAGATTCTTTCTGGAAAGCGAAGGATTAGTCATTCTATGCGTCTAGGGGCTGAATCGTGCAAGTTCGAAGATTTTATGGATGCAAATCTTGAAGGGAAGTTCTCTGAACCTGAGGCAGCAAGGCTGGCAAGAATTGCACTACTTTGCACCCATGAATCTTCTAACCAACGACCCAACATGGATACAGTGGTTCAAGAACTCGGTAAGATCCGCAGTGGTTCATGAAGCCTACTGCTCGGATGTCTTGAACTTGAATCCTTGCCTGTATAAATGTTTCCCAATTGGGGGTGCAAGTTTGACAAAGAGAGATGAAGCCATCTAACCATGCTTTGTCCTTCACCGAGGACAAATGTTGTGAATGTTAAATGTGATTTTGCTCCTTTAATTTGGAGGTAGAAATTGAAGGCCATTACCCTCCTTTTTATCTGTATGTCAGTATCAATTGATCTACCTTTCTTTCATTTCTAAATTGAATCTCTCAACCAGGAAATTAAGATACTTGGTATGGTTATCTATGGCCCCATTTAATTCGGCATTGCCTCACTCCAAATCCAATGAGTATAAGTCATCTAACTCTATATACTGGAAAAACTCTCTGGGCTGGTTAGAAGTTAGAACCTCCTGTGCAGCAAAAAAAGGTCTGGAATTTGTCTGAGAGGGTTTTGTTTTCGTTGGGGTTGGAGAAGCCAAACCTAAATCAAACTCAAGTTGGAATCAACTGATTATGATCTGGGGCTGGGTTTGTGTGTGGTGAACCGATGGGTCGGGTCTACTGTCTACACGCCAATGGGTGATGGAGTTGCTTCTGCTTCTGCGTCAAGTTGAAAGAGTGTAGAGCTGGTGGGTGACAAGAGTTGGCCTTTATTTGTGCCTGGACTTAGAAATCGTCGGAACTCGGATTTTATTATATTTTAATGTAAAATTTGAATGGAGCAGATCGGAGACAGCGTCATCCTAATTCTCAGAGTATATGCTCCGTTGGCTTATCTGGTTCCAACTTCCAACCGGGTTCCAAAAGCAGAGAAGCGAAAGCTTTGTGGCGTGGATGCGTGAACGTTTCTTGTCGTTCTCTACATCTGCTTCGTTGTCATTTCTTCCTACTTTCTTTTTTTTCTCCCCACCAAACCTTTGATTTCATGCACCGATCGACCTTCATTGCCTCCGTAACTGTGGCGTTGTGTGTGTGAGAGAGAGGCATCGGGAAGGTGCTGAAAGACAAAACACAACGTGGAGTGAGTACGTAACTGGGAAAAGCAAAGCTGTGGCGAGGTGTTAAAGATGATATATACGTACTTGATCCCATGACATGTCGATTCCAGGCTTCCAGCCTCACTCAACCAACCCGATATTTGCTACGACTTTTGAGGCATGATTTCGTTGTCAAAGATTCTGGCTTCATCACTCTTGTGTGCCCAACCGGCATTCTCACTGTGTTGCTACCATGCAACATGCAACTCTAGGGTTGCCTCTCTGTCGCAAGGGACCATTTTGCCGTGCCTCCAAGTGCCATCACTACGCCAACAGCATGCCATCCAAGTGTATAATTGTCTTGGGTGGAACATTGCATGTATTTTGTACGAAGGGATTGCCAATGATATTATTATAATATTGTAGTATGATTTTTTATCTTTTTTATGTTTTTTATTGTCACTCTCCCAAAAGCTTAATGTACTCGTTGAGGGGAGGTAGGTAGTCGAGTGAGTCATAAGCGTGTAAAGGTTAAGTACGAGATCCCCTCGACACTGTACTGTGTGTTTGTGCTTACCATTGATTAATGTAATACAAGTTGCCTTTTGTCTAATTTGTGTGCCTTTTGTTGCCTTTTGTGTATCGTTGCTTGCATTGGTAACAAAGCAGGTTGTTCCTCAACACACGTGACCCTTGCATAGCAACACTAGTAGTGGCGCAATGAAGCACAACAAAGAACTCACTGACGAGATTCAGCATGGCCTTGCCCATGCTAGAGAGACCAATGAGGCTCTAGGCAATGAAGTCGTTACAGAGAAGACCCCGAAGGGTCGCACATCCAAAACAAGGAAGTGCGACAAGTTAGTTGACAACCTTGCTGCCTTCGACACATGCATCATTCGTTGCGAAGTGACTGTTGGAGAGATGCGTGACCGAGTAGAAGAAATCCACTTGAACGTGGAAACATTTGAGAGCTCCATGGTGGAGTTAGAAGCCCGGTTAAATGCCATTATGAGCGAGGTCCTTGGATCAACATCTCGACAAGAAGGCAGATCATCTCGATCCAGCATCCAAGACCAGGTTGATGAGATGAGAGATGAATGGATGGCCATGAAAGTAGCCATGGCCACTTCTACTGACTTCCAGACCAATTGGATGAACTAAGAGGAGACATGACGCTCCTCAAGAGACTAGTGGCCAGCACTCCAAGCCCCTCCACAACACTAGCCCCTACTCGTGTGAAGATTCCGGAGCCCACACTTTATGTCGGCTCCCGAGATGCTAGAGAACTTGAGAACTTCTTGTGGCAAATGGAACAATATTTCCTTGCCGCTGGCATTGATGATGACCTAACTCAAATTCGTACAGTGATTATGTATTTGACTAGCATTTCTATGCTATGGTGGCGCAAGCGATGCCAAGACATTGAACGGGGTACGTGCACCATTAAGACATGGGTTGATTTCAAGCAAGAACTAAAGCGGCAATTCTACCCAGAGAACATGGACTACCTGGCGCGGAAGAAGTTGAAAGCACTCAAGCAAAGGGACTCACTCCACAATTATGTCAAAGAGTTTTCAACCCTTAGATCACGGACATGTCTGACAATGATCTACTGTTCAACTTCATGGACGGACTGAAGCCATGGGCCAAACTAGAGATCCAATGCCGCAACGTACAGGACCTCAGCACGGAAATGGTAGTGGCGGAGCAACTCAATGAGACAATCTTGTTAGATGAAGAAGCCCTAAGCTAGAAAGCCCGCGTTCCCCTATTTTGAGTGGGGGAGCAAGTCACCCACGCCCTCCGTACAACAACTCCAGCTTCAACAAGCCAGCAAGATAAGACTATGGGAAGAAGCCACAAGGAGAGCAAGGCCCTCAGCACCAGTACAAGCCTAGAACCACTGGGTCTCCACGTTTTTACTTCCTTTGTGGGGGGAATCACCAAGTTCGCAACTGCCCAACCAAGAAGAAGATCAATGCCCTTGTCGCCAAGCTCAGTGATGATGAGCGAAGTGATGAGGAAAAGTCTGTGCAGGCGCCAAGAGTGGGCGCCTTTCAACTCTTCAACRCCATGGTGAAGAAAGAGGCCAATCACAGAAGGCCAAAGAAAGCCCAAAGGGGGCTAAAGTATGTAGACATCCTCCTCGACGGGATGCCGACTCAAGCCCTTGTTGATACAGGGGCCTCCCACAACTTTATTTCAGTTGCCGAGGCCAACCGACTCAATCTAAACGTTGTGAAAGAGACAAGGTGGCTCAAGGCCGTGAACTCCGGGGCCAAGGCGATTGAAGGCATGGCTTGTGGGGTTGATTTTCAAGTTGGGTCGTGGACAAGCAAGACTAATCTATCAGTGGTACCCCTGGATGACTTCCAAGTTGTCTTGGGAATGGACTTCTTGACACAGGCAGAAGCTACACTCATGCCTCATATCAACTCTCTGTGAATCTTGGACGAATGCTCCCCTTGCATGGTACCAGTTATGACTTCTACTAGGGTTCATGGGAAGCAAGTTTATGCACTACAACTTTTTCATGAAGAAGCCTTGTTCGACGCCAACATGGAGGAAGCAGAGAAGTTCCCCACTCCACTAGCTGAAGAAGCTGCCCCTCAAGCCAACCTCAATAGTAGCAGGAAGCAGCAGACCATCCAGCTATCTACACCTCTCTAGTAACAGAGTTCGTGTGCGTCAACAACCGTCAAGCAAAGCAAAAGACCCAAGGCCGTGTCCAAGTTTGCCCACACCTACTATCACAACCACCAGGGAGAGCAAGTGCCACCCAAACCGCTTAGGGACCACTTTCACACCATCCCTCAAACTGAATCACGTAGTAGCCCTGTGAGTCACCCTTGGGGAAAAATTCATGAGAACCAACACCCCAACAATCCAAAACATCATTTTGACCCTTACCTGGCCCAAACCTTCCCTATGGCCAAGCTGAACCAGCCACTATCCTACCTTGAAGCAGCCAGGTAGGGACTTAACTTAGGGCCTAGCCATAGGTTTTCCCACCATCAAAAACATCAACAAGCCATCCACCCAACCTCCTATCCAGGCCTTGAAAGAAACCCTGTCCGTGGAGCAGTTGAAGAACCTTCATTCACCAACAAGAAGTTCAAGCCGCACGTAGAAGCTGGTCTTCGAGGACGAAGACAAAATTGAGTGGGGGAGAATGTCACAAGGGACCATTTTGCCGTGCCTCCAAGTTCCCTCACCACGCTGATAGCATGCCATCCGAGTGTCCAAGTGTGTGTCTTGGGTGGGAAATTGCATGTATTTTGTATGGGGGGATTGCCAATAGCATTATTGTAATACTGTAGTATGGTTTTTCACCTTTTTGATGTTTCTTATTGTCACTCCCCCAAAATTTTAACGTACTCTTTGAGGGGAGGTAGGTAGTTGAGTGAGTCATAAGCGTATAAATGTTAAGCATGAGATTCCCTCGACATTGTACTGTTTGCTTGTGCTTACCACTAATTAATGCAATACAAGTTGCCTTTTATCTAATTTGTGTGTATTCTTGTTGTCTTTGTGTGTTGTTGCTTGCATTTGTAGGCTTTCTCGACCCCATCGAGCGCCGCACGGGGCCTCGTTGGTTAGCCCCGTGACATCTTGCTGTAACAGGACAGGACTATTAACGGGTCGGGTCTGGTCCAATCCGACAAGATATACTGAGGACTCGGAACCAAACCAGACTCGATGGGTCTGTAATTTTAGACCCTAAAATCTAACCAATCGTTTCTTAGGACAATTGGGTCTGGTCCGATTATAATAAATCTACTGAATCAAGAACCAGAATCGACCCAATTAGTTTGGGTCCAAGCTGACCCATTGACAATCTGCGCTGGAACCAATTTAACCATGAATCACATCCTCTATACCCTTGATACTGCAATTTGCCACACCAACCAGTTTTTTTCATTTTAAAATTAAAACATTTTTTTAAATGATGTGGCAGATTGATATTTGCTTGTACATAATTTTAGTGAGTTTATGGAAGACATTAAATTACCAAAATGTCCTCTTTGTTATTCACAGGACTTGAAATGAAATTTTCAAAATGGTGAAAATAGGCCCATTTTCTGATTTTAGTGGGTGCAGAACTAGCCTCCCGTATTGTACTATTTTTGCACGATGTGGCTACAAACAAGAGTCTGGATGCACTACAAACACAGGCCGTGTACAATGGGCTATGGAACTAATTAAGAGTAAAAACACTAGTGTGCTGTATAAGGCGTGGGCCCCTTGTAAAGGGGATGCGGACGTGTTCACTCTTAATTGGTACCATAGCCTGTTGTACACAGCCT